AAGTTAACAATACAGAATAACAGAATCCTGACCCGACTGTCTCACCTTTTTATGTAAATGTAGCCGTTTTAAAACCCTGAAGCCATAAAAGCAGCGCTATAATATTTCCGTCAATGAAGCGACGTGCCGTTTGATAGACACTTGAACTGAACCCCTACCTCCCATTGAGCTACGCAGATCCTTTCTGGATTTCTCGATGAGTCAACACACATTAACGCCTTCACACAGCTGTGCGGTGTTTTAGTATTTCTGCAGTTTGGCCAGGTTACAAACTGCTCAAAACCTCGACTGAAAGTCGGCTGCTGATTGTAATTACTGGAAGAAAAGCTCGAAACCAGAGGAGAAAAGGAGCCGCCTCTGCTCGCTCTGTCGTAAGCTATCGGAAGTGGAAGCCTGCCATCGAAACGAGCAGGGCACTGCATATGTTGCAATTTTCATCCACTCGTTAAACCAGGTAATTGAGTATCCACGTCACAATCACCATCTCCCATTCAGAGTGAGAGCACTCATTGTCTTTATTGCATACGGTTCAGACTGAACACACAACATCACAAAGGTCGCGAATGTGCAGCGAGGTTAACACACTTTAATATTAGTCACACGCTTTGAGCAGATAGGCTGCTGTGTTATTTGAAAGCGTCTGAAGCAGAACACATGTAACTGTTACCGTGTAACCGTGTTATGGGTACAGATGATGTGGAGGAAAATTAGTTTGTGAATCATCATCGTACCACAAAGGAAAAGCGCGACTCCATTATGGTACATGCCGTTACACAGCACACAGCAAAGCCATTAAAAGGCTCTAATAGGTTTCTGTATCGAGGACAGTGGTGCAGCTTATTAAAATGTGCTGGGCTAACTTCACCCACTGATATAATGAACCAGTGATGATTGTTCCTCCCTCTCTCACTCGCTCTCTTTCCTGCACACATTTTTCTTTAAAAAACAACAGAACTGAGTTATTGTGGTGAGAACAGCTGAGTCAGGACCTTAGCCTCACTTACAAACTCACAGCTACAAACACAAACCCTTCTTACTCCAGCTTTTCTATTTTGCTTTTTAATTAGCCTCGCTGCGCTCTGTGATGTCACAAGCTTAGCCAGCCAAGCTTTTACATGATGCGACACCGTCGGTCAT